TTTATGAGGTTGATGTTCCGGACTCATTACATTTAACCTTAAATGGTGACCTATTTTTAATAGAAGATTTAGAACTTAATGATGATAATAAAATCCTTGTTTTCACTACAAAAACTAATATGCAATGTTTATCTCGAGCACCTTATTGGGTTATAGATAGTACCTTCAAAACAGTCTCTACTGTTTTCCAGCAAATTTATATCATTCATGCACCTGTTGGTGCAAATGATAATTTTCAAATTCTACCTTTTATATATGCCCTAATAAGTCATAAATCAGAAATACTTTATACTTAATTATTTCAAATTTTACGTAACTTTGCAGAAGATAATGATCTTCAGCTCAATCTGACAACAATCATTACTAATTTTGAACAAGCAGCAATCCATGCATCATCTAATACATTCCCAGATTAGTTATCTATTTAGTAAATATGTATCTATATACATATTTAATTTTTAAACACTAATAACAATAAATAAATAAATAGCTAACCAATTAAATTCATCTAGGTGTTACTAATAAATGTTGTTTTTTCCATTTTGAAAAAACTTTGTGACGAAAAATACAAAAATTTAAATTAGCAAGTCAATATGGAACTGATATAGATTTAAGTTTGATGTTATGGTGTTTACTTGCTTTGGCTTTTCTTCTACCCGATGAAATTCTTGATGCATTTAAGATTCTAAAAGTGGAAATGCTACCAGCTGCAGCTGATATTACACAATGGTTTGGTAATATATATGTACATAGAAATATTTGACGGTTATTAACTAATAGCAATGAATTACGTAATCTACCTCTTTTCCCACCAGAGTTATAGTCTGTTTATAGCTCTGTTGAAACTGGAGTTCCATGTATACAAAATAAAATTGAGGCATGGCATCATCGTTAGAATATCTTAGTTGGTCATACTCATGTAGGTGTCTATTCAATTATTAAAGAATTCCAAAAGAAACAACAAAATGTTGATTGTCAGATAGAAAGAATTCTTAATGGAGAACCAAAACCCAAACCTAAAAAAAATACAATTGAATGAGAAAAACAGATTATGAGTGTTTTAAATGATCAGTTTAATCGTACAACTATAGATTTTTTAAAAGAGATTGCACATAATCTTTCTTTTTAATCACTTTTTAATAGCAGTATAAAATTAAATAACTATGCAGCATCAATCAAATTGTAATATATATAAATATTGTAACAAATAATTTTTTATATGCATACAATATAACAAATTATGCTATTAAAAAAATATTTGCAGTATTATGTTATATTATTATCCTCTTTTATATAAAAAATATTATATTAAATAGTGAATCAATTTGAAGCAGCCTTAAGGTAGTGGTAGGGATAGCAAATTTTTTAAAACATGATTTTAAAAAACATGTTTATTTGATTGAAAATTGCTTTAATACATTATAACAAAATATGATCTGAACATATTACATAGTATTTGAATCATAAAATTTTAATTCTGGGTTTGCAGGTTTTAGAGTTAGAAT